GTTGTGGTTGGAAGTGCCCCAAGAATCTGCTCAAGTTTTAGTTGTTAAAGTCATTATTGATAGAACTATTGCAGCAAATTACTCAAGGATGATCAAGCTGAGCAAATAAAGGCAATGACATAATCCAATTATCACTATGCCCACCAAACTTTGTTCTTGAACTCAGCACAAGCCACAATATTTCAGAGGTCTCTGAACAAATTGGCCTTTTCAATACATAAAAGTCCTATATTAGATTGATTAGCTTGAAGAATCACAGAGTATCTGTCCAACTTAGGCAGTATAAGCTCTTATCAAAGACAGCCTGTGTTTTTATCAAGTAGCACGAGAATAAGACAGAATGTACAACTTACACATTAATTGCATCCTGTTTCTCAGCATCCATGTATGCATTGCTGTAATACCGTTGAAGGGTTCTGAAGAACTCCTGGGATTGTGTTGCTGCCTTCCACTGACCCCTTCTCTCAGAGAATATCTATCATCAACAGTTCAAAAATTAAGAAACAATGAATCTCATTAATAATCAAAATAGCAGCTTCAATTAAAACTATGGAGACCAGCAAGGGTATTTATCAGTGGGAGAGGATTCACAAGTAGATGCTATCAACAAAGTCAACAGAATGTACTACGCCCGCTACCAAACCTACAGCATATCTTACAGCAAAATATAAGAGACATTTGTCACAGTTGACCCTTCAACCCCCCCACCCCCCCAAAAAAAAAAAAAAAAAAAATCTTCCATGAGAACACACAATTCTTATATATAGATTTTTACATCAACCATTAGACACCAATAACCAGATCTGTTAATAGAAAATCCTCTTACCAAAGTGAACTGTATGATAACATTATTTTTTTCATGTGATAAATCTACTAGTTTGATAGGCTCGAGCTTAAATTATGATATAAACACCTTCCTCATCTTTTTTCTTCTTTTGATAAGAAAAATATGAAGGCACCAAACAGGGTGTCATTCATATGCAAGGAGTATAAACTACATACAAGATAAAAGATCTGTCAACTCCTTTGCATTGTCGACACATTCAAACAAAAATTCCCTGTATGCCAAGGTATGAAGTAATTTGATATTGTTTTAAAGAAAAGTTATGGAGGACTCTTCCACCTTGAATGTTCTTCTATTGCCTTCCTCAAACTCCAACACAGCCAAAACATAGCTCATGGATTAAATGTCAAGATATATAGTCTCCTTACATTGTAACCACAAAATTAAATTCTACAAAAAAAAAAAAAACTAATCCAATGACCAGTCTACATTGAAGGTTTCAAGAGAGAAAACTAATCCAACAGTCTACATTGAAGGTTTCAAGAGAGAAAATAAAAGGCAAACCAAAACCTACAGGAAGACACTTGTTGTAATTAAAGAACTAATAACATCTGCAATACAAGCTAGAATCACCTTATTATGAGCAGCAGAGCCACCATACTGATGCGCAAGTGTGTCACCCATTCTCTCATAAAACCCCATCAATTCATCAGCCAAAGGCACATCAAGGTCTATTTTAGGGTTATCTATAACACCTAAGGCATTAAGCTGGTGTCCAAGAGCAGCCAGCCCATATGCATACTGTGCAACATTTGTGCGATCAAGACAATCTATGCAATTTGTCCTGAGCACACCCATCTGGAACATTGGGCGCTTGATAGAATGGTTTCCATTAACAGCATTGTTACCTCCACTAGATTTCTCCTCTAAGTTGTTGCCATCTTCATTATAGCTATTACTGTTAAACTGAGAAGTTAAGTTGCCATTCTCAGCATGCCTGCATCACACGGGCAATGCCAACCTTGCCATCATTAAAACATGAGAAGTAGCCTACTCAGACATAAATGCAAATATTTTATCATGTCTGTCACTTATCAAATAAGATCATCAAGCACCCACTATACTTGGCTTCCAAGATCCAAGCACTAATGTAAAAAGTAAATTGATTAGGAAAGATTAGAAGTCCATTTGGCATCACAACATAGAACCTGGGGTCAAAACTATGGTTTGCTTGCGTCATTGGTCCAGTCATTGAATTTTGTTTTAAATTATTTTTAATGTCATTGGTCCCTGCAGCACCAAACATTTCCAGGATTATCACTGCACTTTATAGCTTACACTCAGTAAGCAGAATGCAGCATAACCAACAGAAAGAACGAAAGAAAGAAGATTGAAATTAGATCCCCTCATAACTGAAGTAAATGCTAATAACAGAAATACTGCATTTTAGATTCAGTGGCATGTGTTCATCATTTAAGTTATTGCTAAGTCCATCATTTAAGTTATTGCTAAGTCCACAAATTCAAGGTACAAGTCATGTCGTTCAAAATATCATGAATGACTGGGGAAGCTACAGAAAAATGATTGATCAACTTACTCCGTGAAAGGTGAATCCATACAACCCTCAAGTTTCAAGTCTGATGTTGCTTGACAATAAAAGAAACCTGTTAGCGTCAAAGCATATGCAGCCACTTTTCCCAGAAGTAATAAAACATTTGTTGCTTTGCTGAGAGTTGACAATAAAGGCAAGTTCGTTGAAGTAAGAATACATTTTTGTCACAATACCAGTACAAAATTAAGATGATCAAGCTAAAAAGAGATACCTTCTAGAATGTTTGTGTAGATCCCAGTGAAGGAACCTTAGACGATTCTTCTCAGATAAATTTTTATTAATATGATCAATAGCATTAGCAAACTCAGCACAAAGAATTGACTCTCGAGGTTTCTTCTCTTTTGTCTATGATTGTGAAACAATGAACAATAGATAAAATAAATAAATAAATAATAATCTGAATTGAGACATGATAATAACAAAAGCAATTAAAAAGAACTGTTTAAAGATCTTTCATGTCACAAGACTAATTCAAGACATTAGCAGCTGCAGCAGAAGAAAAAAAACATCTCAGCCACTGAATAAGTAAGAAACTTACCTTAATCAAGTTCAAAATAATAATGGGATTTCCATATCTCTTTGCAAGATTTTCAAAATGAAGTCTTGTTGCTTCATAATTTTGGTCCTTCTTTGACACTATAAAAGACAAGAAATCACGTGAAAATCAAAAAATGCAAAGCACCCCCATGAATGCCACAAGATCAAGGACATACATATAATATCAGGTTTAATATTCAAACGTGAGGTTTCCTGTGACCAAAATAGTGGGATGGAGCCACGGTTCTGGACAACTGAACTTATTTGCATGGGAAATCCTTCAGGAACATCCTCAAAAACAATCTGCTCCGTCTCAACATCATTAGCCACTCTGCCCTTCTCATTTACCCCACGTTTCAAATACCTAAATAGAGAAGCACCAGCGAGAGGCGTACCAATGTGAAAATTAATAAAGCAAAAACAACGTAAAAGACATCATCGACTCAACCAGCAGATGGTCAAACAATATCCAATATTATCATTTTTATGGAGAAACATTGCAATCGACCCCAACTAGTTTGGGATTGACTTCTTGTTTTTCCTGCTGTTGTGTCATACATTCAGAGAAACATCATGGCCACATAAGCCGGGTTGAGATTATCATTTTACTGGATTCAAATTGCATTTAAAATAGATGGTGGCTGAGAACAATGGTTTCTTGGAAACCACTGAAACAGAATCACCTATAATCTTCAAATAATATTCAAAATATATATTTCAAAAATGCTGACAAAAGAAAGTGACAACTACCTTAATTTATTGTTAAAGAAGATATTCTATTAAAAAACCAAAACCGAGCTAGTAGATTCTTCATCAACAAAGAGGTGTTTTGTTCTAGGAATAAATGTCCATGATATATTCTTATTTAAGAATTTCAATATGGAGTTACAGGTAAAATTCTGTAAGTAGAGGCAGAGTAGTGGTTTTGGCAATATCCTGCATCATGGATTGTTTCATTCAGTAATTATGTCATGTATATTTACTTTTCTAATTAGAAGTCATTGGTCTCTTTGTAATTTCAAGTTTATTAAGGATGCGCAATCTTATTTAGGAATCCTGATCTTTTAGGAATTATGGTATAGTTATAAGCTTTTCCATTTTGAGATCTTTAGCTTATTTTGCACATTACCACGAGGAAAAAAGCTTACTTTGCAACATAAGTTAATCAATGTCATTAGTTATCAGTTATGGAACAAAATTGACATTTCTAAAGTCATGTTCTAGGCTTGGTGGGGTTTTCCTCTCTTTCTTATTCTTCTTATTCTTGTTCTTTTAGCAAGGGTCATCATATAGGAAGCCATTAGAATATTTAGCAACTACCTTAAGATTCCCATGCTAAGAACAAAGAAACTTGGGAGGAAAAAAAAAAAAAAGGCATGCTACTTTACCTAGTACCAGCATAATGACGTGAACGTCTTGCAATTAGGGTAAGTTTGAACTCCCGCCCGGATACAGAAAGTTTGGCCTACATTTATATAGCATGAAGCCAACAGTGAAATAAATGTCATAATTCAAGTACACCTACTCACAAAATAAGCATTGCTTGGACAGCTATAGATCTGAAAGAGGAAAAATAATTCACATTCTAAGCAACCTGTCTACCATCCATTATTCACCTGTTTAAAGAATCCATACACTAAAGCAACTGTCCACAGAGTATTTTGAAGGTGATTTCGGATGCCACGAGTCAAGAACTCATTCCAGACAAACATTGTTTCATATGGGACCTGGCCTGTCCTGGTATCACACAAGTTCTTTTGAAGACTATGCATAACATGGTATGAGTAGCTAAAAAAGAAGTCCTTTGTTAGGTCCACTGTGCATAGAAGCTTCTTGTACCTATGTCATCAATGAAATAAAGAGAATCAAACTTTACAACAAAGCCCTCTGAAAATTTAGTGCTCAAACTCTTGCCACAAAAGGAAAGAACACAGGAGAAAGAAAATGAGCTATGGAAAGAATACAGAACGTCATTTGCCAATAAACCTGTAGTTGATTATTTCACTGTGAACAACTAAAAGGTCAGAGTAAAAGAATGAGAAGCAGGGGCATAAGTTTCTCACCCTAAATAACTCCACTTGTGCAGCACCAATAAATACAGAAAAAGAAGAAAAGACAAACAATTAATGTGCGATAAGGACAGGTGAAATTTCTATTCTTGCAAGCCAAACAGTGCTGATCAGAGACAAGTGGTAATTATTCTTTTGAATTCATGAAAATAACACAAAAAAATTGTAAGTACATTTTTTTCCTAAAAAATGGAATTTTATAATAATATGAAAGAGGTAAGTAACAGGTTGAAAAGATGATAATCTCTAGGAAAAAAATGGAATTTTATAATAATATGAAAGAGGTAAGTAACAGGTTGAAAAGATGATAATCTCTAGGAAAAAAATGGAATTTTATAATAATATGAAAGAGGTAAGTAACAGGTTGAAAAGATGATAATCTCTCCCAACAGAAACAGGCAAGAAAAAAGGCTAAAACATCAAATTTCTCCAGTCTCTCTGCATATTCCCTAGGGAAAAACCTCCAAAAACTTATGTGGCAAAGCACCACAGGAAAGTGAAAGACTTGGTCCAAACCATCACAAAAGAGCACACTTATACAACACTCTGCCTCCATTTCCTTCTAGAACTGAACATTTTTCCTCCTTTTGATTCACCAAGACAAACAAATCAGTTAGGAGCAGCTCTCTTAAAGTATTCCAGCAAACCCCAAAACTTACTGGAGATAGAGAAAATCCTAGCCTAAAGATTACAAGAAACTGAACAGTGAAAGAAGAGGTGGTCTATGATTCACTATTATTGCCACACTTAGTGCATCATGTATCAGGGGATGAGCTCGTGGTCATAAAGTGCAAAAGAACTGTCTGAAAATGAGTAGGATACAACAACTAATACAGCTTTTGGTTTATCATTCATGATTTATCTATCATTTAAAATAAATGAGTATCGACATCTCATGAAGAATGAGCTAAAGACCTGTTCTCCTCCTTAGAATTGCTGATACTAGACTGTACAGTGGAATTTGGAAGTGGAATCATCTCACTCTTGCAGACTGCATATACGTTGTGACCACAGATAGCACCAATTTGTCTTCTTTTTGTTACAAGTAGCATGTAGTATGGTCCAAGAAATTTGATGAACCCTAAAACAAGAAGATCACTATCAGCATAGTGATATTGTAAACAATCTCAAAGAGAGAAAAACAATGCAACTAAAATGAACATACCAACAATTCCATAGCAAGTAGTGACAAATTTAAGCCCACCGGTAGCATTGTTTCCTTCATGTACCCGCCTCAATAGATCATAACATTCACTCTCCGTATACGTTGTAGAATCTTCACGAATATTTAACTCACAAGGATCAAGTCGGTCAATCTTTAGCACTCTCCAATACATCCTAGTCTTGTCCCTTCCTACCATGTAAAATTTCTGCAGAAACAGGTAAAGAACAAATAAACAAATGGGTGCAAAACACAACATAAAATCGATCAGTACATTTGCTGAATAAATCAAGCCATGTTGAATCTATAGGGAAGAGGCTTTGACTTGGTTGCAATTTCAAATGCATAAACTCAAGCAGACATCTGAAAATAGTAAAAAGCATGAGAGATTTAACACTTTGTATAGCATCTTAAACTGACAGCATATGATCATTCAATTCAATTCCAAAAAGAACAAAAACAGAAGGATGTTAAAGTCAAATGCAGTCTACTTATAAGCGATCGAAAACAATCTAATTCGGCAATGAATTTGTGAATGTAAATTAAAGAGATCGCAAAAATAAAATACATAAGAGAAAGAGTACCGATTGAGTCTTATAAAGCTTGAATTTCTGCATAGAAACCTGGTCAGGCCACGGCAGCAACTCTTCTTGCTCATCAGTTCTACTATTACTACTCATTGTCGGGGAGTAAGACGTTCCCTCATTCCCCGTCGACGACGCCATCACTCTCTCTCACACACACTCTAATTTCTCGAATTATTTTCTAGATCTATCTGTGTCTCCCTCCCCCGAGCCCCGGGCTCAGGGAGATATGCACAATAACATGCAACAGAACATCAAATAAATGATTTAGTTATCAAAAGAAAGAATCGCAACCTTTGCATACAATGGAGCTTGGTTGCTTCAAATACAACATCTCTTTCTAATTATAAATTATCGTACCTCAGCTCTTCTCTCTTTTTTTTTCTCTCTCTCCCCCTCCATTCACACATACAAAGATATATAGCTTGATTCTTGTGATCTTCGAATCAAGAATCAAGAATAACCGCGCAATTGCAGAGATCGAAGCATTAATTAATTAACCGCTATAATTAGGCGGATATTGTTAACAAAAGGAAGCAGCTTTATATTTATACATGCTAGGAAAGAAAAGGAGAAGATCAAGCTCAGAGACCAAAAAAACAACGAAGAAACCTGTGAGGTTTCGAGAACAAAAATAAATAAATAAATAAAGTAAAAGGAAGGGGGGAGTTCTTGGATTTTTATTTTTTATTTTTTATTTTTTTTGTGTATGCCCGCCGTTCTTACAAACACAGCTGCTAATTATTGATGACGGCAAAAATTTAAAAGGTTTGTTGCTGTTGTTTGAGATTTTAAGATATCTTTTTTGTTATTTTTGAAAAAGAAATTCTGTAAATTATTTTTTTATTTTGAAATTGATTTGATACATGAAGATAAGAAATAAATTTTAAAAAATAATAAAATATAATTTTAGTATATTTTCAGATAAAAACCAACCACAACTGTGAATGGCTGCTACAACCACACGTTTTTCATTTTTTCTTAATTTTTTTTTAATTGGTTTATATGATGTGAACTTATCGAAGAACGAAGAAAGAAAGGAAGGCGCCGGGAGAGGGCAGTTGCAGCCACGAGGACTGCCTGGATGCCATGCCAGCCTGCTCCTCATAATTGATTAGGTCATTCAGGATGCCAATTTCTTCACGGCCCTCCCTCGAGGACCAATACACGCAAATGAAGTACTTGCGGGCATCTATGTTTCGGATAGATTTATGAAATTTATTTTTGTATTTTAAAAATATTTTAAAAAAATTAATTTTTTTAGTTTTTTATTTATTTTATATTAATAATTTTTTAGTATTTTAAATTATTTTAATATATTGATGTTAAAAATAATTTTTAAAAAATAAAAAAATATTATTTTAATATATTTTTAATAAAAATTATTTTATAAAACAACTCTAATTACTACTAATAGACAATTAACCACGTTATTGCTCATGTCTATTTCTTTCTTTTTTATTTTCTATTTTTATTTATTTTTGTTTCGTATGGCCTCCTTATGATTGGTAAGAGGGTATCATTTTCTCAATCAAGAGTGTTGCACGTGATCCCATGTGAACTTTAGAATAGGGGTCATGTGACCATTTATTGCTCATGTCAATGAATCCCATGCCGTTTCGAGAGACCCCCGAAAAAAACGTTTCAAACGCGCAGATTATGGTCTCCAACAAGAAGAAAGCAGCAATCATGTGAAGTGAAAGTAAAGTAAGAGCTGCGTACAAATCCAAAGCCAGAGGTAATGAGAATGACGCCCGATACGAGAACGACACACTATGCACAAAATGATGCCCAAGGAAATAATTAGATTTAATTAGATTTGCAAATAATTCCTAAACTATATAATATCCAACTGTTTTCTATTTAGGGTTTTTAATTTCTTCTATGTTCCCAATCATTCTAGGGTCTCTATTTAGGTTCTTCAACTCTTTTCCTGACCATAGAGCCACTCACTCATGTTTTCTTCATTGCTGAAATGCAAATTTTCAGTGTTCATTAAGCTCGGAAAAGTTCACTATACTTTCTATATTTTTTCAAACTTTTTTACATGGTCCCTGTAGTCTTCAACTTTTACATTTCAGTATTCTAGTTCTTTAATATTAAGAGATAAGGGATAAAGTTGATGGGAGTGGAGGGGAAAGAATGAAATACTCTAGCCACAAAAAAGAGCCCATCTTGGTGTTAATGTGTTTATCGTGAAGATGAAAATGTCATGGGGTGGTTTGAATTTTTAATCATCATTGGAAAAATAAACCGTAACACACCAAGTTTATTTAGATTTAATTTATTTTTGTGCTTTTTTAGCCGGTTAAAGAGTGTATTAGAATTAAAAATAAGATTATTAAGGTTTATATGATATTTTTGTATTTTAAAATAAAATAAAATAAAGTAAGATTTTTCACATTATTGATGTACTTCACCAATGACCAAGATTTTTTCACTTAAACTCTTGAAGGATTATAATTTGTTTGAAATATAACAACACTATCTTAAAAAGTAGACAATACAATTAAAGCTTATATCTTTATAGCTCACTAAATAGCATTTAAAATGTATGAAAGTATTTAAGTTAGTGATTGTGGGAATTTATATACATGTGCAAGAATATGAAGTTTTAATGCACAAATATGAGTATGATTTAGGATTGATTACTTGAAGTTGTTTTTGCTCTTAAAATAGCTTGGATATGATATATATTAAAATTTGTATTTAATTATACAACTAAATAATCTATATATATATATATATATAGAAAAAACTAATTGTTTTTATAGTTGTTAGTGTTCCTTTAACAAATGACATAGTCAATCGGTTCATATTTGTCAAGCCAATTGGTCGAATAGTTCCTGTAGCTTTCCAGGTGTTAATCCTGGATGAACAAGTGATTGACTGATTCTTTTAATATGACCAAGTGGTTAACCGACTCAACTTAAAATCCAATTCTAACAGTTTTAAGCCTAATGAATCTTAAACTAACTAAATGCATATCAATCTTATGATGCATGTAATGTAAATGTGAAGTGTATGAATTCATTTTAATTTATTATATCAAGTTAGATATAAAGATTTATATAATTTGCACTAAAATGAATCTTTTAGAATTAAGTCATCACTTGTTTTACATCGTGGATTTGTTGATTGATTTCTTCATTTAATTCTTAATACTTGTTAATGAGCTTTATATAAACTTATTTTTAAACAAGCATATTACTTCTTAGTCCAATTTCATTTAATTCTTATCATTAAAATACATAAAATATTAATATTTGACTCAAAGGTCAACAATCTTCTCATTTTTTATGATGAAAATTAATATATAAATATAAATATAAAAATATTAATCTCCTTTATATTTTGCAATATAGTCCCTTGGAGACTTTGATTAAAAAACAATATATAAATATAAGTTTTTCTCCCTTATAATCATATTTTACATTTATTTTTCAATCATCTCCCCTTTTTTCATCAATGAAAAACATACAGGCTAAGTATAATAATTAACATGATCAAAAGACTGATATCTTCTCCCAAGTGCACGAGTGTCGAAGTAATAAATAACCTAGCAAGACCGAGATCGAACCATAGGGAGGTTAATTGTACAAATTATAAATAACAACAACAATAACGACGACGACAACAACAACAACAACAACGA